TTTCCAGTCTGGTGTACCCAGGCGAGTGGGACACGCCGGTGAAGATGCTGTGCGACAAGTACGAGTACTTGAAAGCGGTACCACTGTCGCCTGCTGATAAGCTGGCTGGCGGGGAATATGTGAGTCACAAGTCGCTCTATGTGCAGTAGTATCGGCCCACCTTGACGAATGCAACCTGACCTCGGTTTACTTCCTTCACAGCGAATTTGGCGAAGGAAGTTACAAGTGTCCTTTAAAACCAAGCGCAGAGGCATCCGTGGGGTGCAAGCTGCCGTCGGAGAGACGGAGACGGTCCTCATGGCGGTGCGTGACAAGTACGCCAAGGGAGCCAAGAGGAGGAGGCTGAACGCCCAAGCGAATGTACCTGAGGATGGTGACGCCGACGACCCCGGCGTGGCAGCGACCCCCAACGTTGCACAACGAAAGCCGCGAAGTTCCTCCTATCTTCCGGTTAGTTGTGCATGGCAATAGTCTTTTTTTTTTAAGTGTGCCAGGGACGAAAGTTTGTGTGTGTACTTATGTGTGTGTGCTTGGTGTTTCAGTTGCACGCCGCTGAGCGCCCCCCTGGAGAGTCGGACAAAGCCACAGAGGCTCATATCAAAATGCTGAAGGAGCAGTACCACATGAGCGCCTCCAACCCAAAGAAAGCTGCAAAGGACACGATCGACTTCGCAATGAAGAAAACGTGGCACGCCAGATACAGCTGGATTTGGGGAACATGTCGTCCGTCCTGGGGGGAGGTGTTGGAGCGGTACCCTCATCTCAACATGTCAGACCATGTGAGTGTCAGCGAAGCCGAAGTGTGGTAGTCAAAGTTCATTGTCACTGACTCCTTTATTTATCCAATTTCAGGTAAAGGAAGACTACATCAGACTGAGGTACGTCTGGAAAAATCTAAGCGAGTACTTGGCGAGTGGCAAGGCCACGCGCCTCGTTGACATGTGCAAGGAGAAGAAGATGGAGTACAAGGGAGAAAAGAGACCAGCCAAGGAGGCAAAGAAGGACATCGATTTGATGAGAGAGTCGGCCGCAAGCAGGGGGGAAGGTTGGTTTTTTTTTTTTTGTGTGTGTTTAAGTTTTCGCTGTCCTTTGTGATTGATTACGTTAAAGTGACAATTATTTTCTCTCTGCAGATGGAGAAGTGTGGGCTGCCATCGCCTGCATCCCATACCTGGCCAAGGAGGACCCACTTTTCTGGATCTGTGAGAAGGTATGCATACTTTGAAGTGGAGGTTGTTCAGGGTGTTAAGGGTGTTATGAGCTGTTAATGAACAGTTGTGCGTTCCTTTTGCAGCCACTCGGAAACGGGCAACCCTGTGTCGTTGTCAGGAATCCAGGGACTGGCAGCGCGAATGTAACGTTTGAGCCCTATTTGGATGCACAGAGACTGTGCCCTGAGGAATCCCTAGGCCTGGAGAAGTGCTTCGAAGTCCTTATCCAGGCAATCCACCTGGTTGGTGCTCAGTTCACCATGAAGACGCGCAAGTCGTGGTGGCTGGTTTGCGAGACAATGCTGGGTGTGAGAGAGAAGGGTTCCACCTCTCACCTAAGTAGTCCGTTCAGGGTACTCCACGGGCTGGTGGAGACAGCATGAGCATTGTTTTAGATTGTTCATCTTAATTTATATGAGCTTTAATGTAAGTTGTATCTTGCTGAGTAGGTAATGTTGTGAAATTCATGTAGATATTTCTTGAACTCCAGATTATTTTTCATTCTAAGTTTGATAATGAATATGAAGCCGTAGTGATGTCACATTGATGTAGACATTTCATGAACGGTAGTGGGTTTCTTTCCACCAGGTTGTTCATTAGTTTAGTGCCTTAATTTATTTCAGCTATTGTTGAGTAATTAATTGTTTGATATTAATGTAGATATTTGTACAACTTTCTTTTTTTTTTCTAAGTGTAATTAGGACAACACATCCGTAGTGTTGTCCATGTAGACATTTAGTGAAGGTTACTGAGTTGCTTTTTACCAGGTGCGATTGTTTAA